GAATAGTCTGCAATTGAAATGGAAACTGAGCAATCTGGTGCCACTAAATGTTTTTAAAGCTCGGTTGGATGCTACTCAATCGGAAGCTGTTGGTACCTGCTCATGTGGATAGTTATTGTAAATTGTAATCCCTGTAATGATGCTGTAAGATGTCCTTTTTGTTGTTCTGTTTATGTTTTTATGTTTCCTGTGGAACCTACTTGAGCAGGTCTCCCTTGAAAAAGAGATCAATGATCTCAATGGGATACACCTGGGTGAATAAAGGTTTGAAATGAAATGACTTATATTGATAGAGCAATTTGGATTAAATGATGTTAAGTGCAAATAACACAATCCTACAACATAAATGGAACTAATTTGTGTTAAGTAATTACAACCTAACTGTGTTAGGTAAATCAGTGCAAACTTAAAGTAAATACAACATCATTGTGTTAAGTAAAAACAACAATTTACGTAAATTCAACATAACTGTTAAGCAAATACAACATAACTCTATGACGTAGCATTTAATTAAGATGCTTTGGTAAGATTTACTAGTTTACTAGTCTGTTTCATATTTACTTAGCCTTGTTACGTGCGACCGGTTGACATAGCTAGATTAAGTAAATCTAACACATCATTTCTTTGAGTGTGGGTACATTATTGTTATTATTCTTTATTTCCTTATCTATTAATTTTCATTTTCTTTTAATATTATCTTCTACATTACTTTATTTTTACTTTACTAGCTAGGACCGGGAGGGGAGGGGGGGAAAGGGACACATATTGACTGTATACATGTAAACTCATTGTGCCTGACTCAATACAAAAAAAATGGTTGTTGGTAATGTATTAGCCAACATCAGATGTATGATGTCGCTGCATCCGTGGGAGCTCAGACCCCTCCTTGTGGGAGCTCAGCTCCCATTGCCTCACAGCCACACTTAACTCGAGCCCTGTGCCTGGAGTCTGAAGTCAGGAAAGCCCAAGCGAATAAGGAGTGTGTTGTAGCTGTATTCTTTGATGTGGAAAAAGCTTACGATATGATGTGGAAGGAAGGATTATTAATAAAACTGGACATTATGGGTCTGGGAGGTAATGTATATAATTGGATTATGGATTTTTTGTTTGGCTGTGCCATCAGAGTCCGAGTTGGCAATTCATATTCTCGAAGGCATGAAGTTGAAAATGGAACCCCGCAGGGGAGTGTAATTAGTCCTCTTTTGTTTTCTATCATGATAAATGATATATACACACAAGTAGGATCTGATATTGGTAAGTCACTTTTTGCAGATGATGGAGCTATTTGGAAAAGGGGCAGAAATGTAAATGATATTGTAGCTAAGATTCAGGAAGCCATTACGGAAATTGAAAGCTGGTCTCTGACATGGGGGTTTAGATTGTCGGTGGAAAAAACTGAAACTTTATATTTTACGAGGAAAAGGATAGGTGAGGAGGTTAAAACTTTATGGACAAGATCTAAAGAAAGTGAAGACATTTTACATTTCTGGGAATATGGTTGGACGAGAGAGTCACATGGAGTACGCACATTGATAAAGTAGTAGATAAATGTAAAAGGGTTTTAAATGTTATGAGGTGCTTGGCAGGCACTACGTGGGGGGCTGATAAAGCTGCTTTGAGGAACGTATACACAGCCTTAATTAGATCAGTCATAGAATACGGACTAATAGTGTATGGTTCAGCTGCATACTCTTCTCTTCACAAATTAGATAGAGTCCAGGCACAAGCACTAAGGATATGCGGTGGGGCAGTCAAATCTACACCAGTGTCGGCACTTCAGGTAGAGGTCGGAGAAATACCAATTTCTTTGAGGAGAAAACAGTTAATTGTTCATTACTGGGCAAATCTTCAGGGCCATAAAGATACTCACCCTACCAAACAAACTGTACAAACAAGTTGGGAAAGTAACAACATAAAAAAAGAGAGTTTTGTGTTTGTGTTTCGGAAATATGTAAGGAATTCAAAGTTAAAGAATGGAATATTAGTCCGACTGTTATCAGCTGTTCCACCATGGTTTCTACTTCAACCTGTAGTAGATGTATCACTATTGAAACGGTTACATTCAATGAAAAACAAAATCAATGTACAGGGTTATGTGAATACTGTTCTTCATGAACAATATGGGCACTTTATTTTTATAAATTATTTTTATTTTATTTATTTTAAGCGTACGAGTGATCACATCGCAGTATACACAGTAGAGATGATGGCTATCTCTCTAGCACTACAGTGGGTAGAGGAAATACAGCCAATGCGAGTGGTCATTTGCTCTGACTCCAGTGCAGCTCTGGAGAGTATTAATAGCTTCTTTTCAGAATGTCATCAGGATATTTTACATGACATTTTACACATCATGTTTAGGTTAGTTCATCTGGGAATTGTTGTTCAATTTGTGTGGGTTCCAGCGCATGTGGGTATTAGAGGGAATGAGATAGTGGATCAACTGGCAAAATGTGGTTTGAAAGCAACCCAGATTGATATGATGGTACCTATCAGTAGAGCAGAAGTCAAATCTGTTACAAAAGTGGTTATCAAGCAACAATGGCAAAAACTATGGGACAGTAACACCAAAGGAAGACATTTATACCAGATACAAAGGGAGGTGGGAACGGGAAGCACTTGGGGGAGTAGTAGAAGAGAACAGAGCATTAACAGCAGGATACAATTGGGACACTGGATTAAACTCATCACTGCATCTGATTGGAAAACATCTAAATGGCAATTGTGATGGTTGCCAACAACCAGAGACAATACATCATGTATTTTTTAGCTGCACGGATTATAACAGACAAAGATTCATTCTGAAAACTGCACTGGAACAACTCAACGTCAAACACATGGATTTCAAGACAATATACGAAAGTAAATCAAGAAATGAAGCAAACAAGCTGATCTTCAAATTCCTCAAAAGCACTGGTCTGAGGACAAGGATTTAATATGAACATTTAATAACTCAACAGTAGGTGGCGATATATGCTCCAAGTGGAAGCGATTCGCCATTAAAGAAAAGAAGAAGAACTCGAGCCCTGCATGCGGCGTCTCGTCGCTACGGTTCTCTCTTGTGTTCCTGAGAAAGTGTGTGTGAGCTCCAGCTCTACTGATCCATCATCCGTGTGTCTGGATAAACCTCTGAATGGACTCTGTGCTCTTTTTTCTGGAGCGTTTACCTCGGACTATAGGAGCTAGCTTAGCATGCTAGCTGGAAACACGTTAGCAACACTAGTCAGATTGAGAGTTTGACGGAGAGAGAAACGGTGTGTTTAACGGAGTCTGCAGGGAAAGGTGATCTAGGAAACATGAGTAAAGTCCAAATGCTGCTGTCGTTGAAGAAGCAGCGACTCACTGCTGCTTCTGAAGAGATATTTGCTCTGTTTGAACAAACAATAGCAGAGCTCGAGGAGGAGCTGTTTCTTTCCAAAGAGGAGAACAAGAGACTCCAGAAACTACTGGACGCTGTTTTACAGCCTCAGCTTCGGATACACAGAGCAGGTCTGTTCCCTTTACCCTTCATTAACACTTTAAACTCTTCAATAACACTTTATTATCACATTAATAACACTTTAGACCAGGGGCGCTGGAAGGGGGGTGCTGAGGGCGCTGCAGCACCCCCTAGCGTCAGGCAGGCGGAGCTCCTCTGCCTGCAAATTAAAATGTTTGATATATATTTTTGATTACATTTCATTGTGCCTGAGATATATTTTATATTATTATTCAAATGATAATTTTAAACTATATAATACATTATTTAGCTTAAGGGAAGAACACAAATATATATGTTTTTTTAGTCGGATACTTTTAACGTGACTCACAACACAAGTGACGAGTAACTGACATGGCACACAAAAGTATCTCGGAATTCTTTCTCACTAAAAACGCTAAATCTGCTAAAAAGATTGAAATAGAAGATGCAGGGGCAGGGCATTATTACGCAGAATCTGTGTAATATGTAGCCAGGAATTAGCAATGCCTTGATAGCCTACTTCAATGAATGTAATTTCCACATTGTTGGTAAAATCATATTTTACATCTTAAAGGTGGGGTAGGTAATTCACTTCAGATACACTTTTATTCCATGGAATGCTCTTAACATCCCGATGGCAATGAATACATTAAATGCTTTGACAATAAATACTAGGGATGCACGATATTGTTTTTTTTAAACTGATACCGATAACTTCCTGTTTCTCAAGACCGATAACTAATAATAATATAATATAATATATATATTAAATGTACCTGTAGTTTTTGCACACCTGGTGGTAAAAAAAAGAGTAGTAGTGAGCAAATGACATGAGCATTACTACTATGAACAAAACAAAGCCAAGAACAGTTTTGACTCTTCAAAGTGATCATATTTATTTTCCCAAATAAAGTGCCTTTTTCAAAAGCCTCGTCGATAGGTAAAAGCCCCGGTGCCTTTGCAGCTGGCTTTGGATTCACCGCTAGTTTAGCAGCGCAGGCATCTTCGTACGCTTTTAACACACCATCGTAGCGATGGTGATGTTTCAGGTGACTAATCAGGTTAGAAGTATTATAGCTCGTTGCCTTTTTCCCTCCTCGTGGAACTTCTGCATTTGTTAATACAAATAGCAAGCGAACTATCTAACTCTGAAACTTTGAAATAGTCCCATACTACCGACATGTTTACTGTCCTGGCTTCACGGCCGCACACCATTTACGCCACAGCCAGGCATGAGTTAGGGAGCGCTGGATTTGTGAAAAACTCCCCTCTTCCTAAACCACTAATACTACAGTACTGGCAAAACGGGAGGAGCCAAGTGAAAAACAAGCACCCCTCATCCCAATCCACCCACACCGCAGTATTTTTTCTTTTTTTTTACCCAAAAAATATATTGTGTATTATCGGGGCTATTAATACTTTTATCGGGTTTATCGGGATGACGTCATAATTCCTAATATCGGACCGATAATTATCGTGCACCACTAATAAATACATACAAAAATGTCATCTGTGGAAGCCGTAGTACCTACTGTAAAAAGCACGACCAATTATCTGAGCCGGCCCGGCTAAAATAACTGGATGGCCTACCTGCCTGTCAGCCTGCCATCTGTGCACAAACTTATCTCGTGCCCTCATTGGTCACGTGCGCGTTCGTGTGTGTTGGAGGAGGGGCTCTGTAAAGAATTCTGAAGGAACGGGCAGATTATTTCCGGTTGTGTATTTTCAAATTCTAGCGCACTCGAGCTGGTTTCTCCATTCGTACCCACCCTACCTTTAATAGAGTGTGGACTCGCGCTTTTGTGCATGCTCTATGCAGCAAATGTGACCCGCCATCGGAGGGCCTCCTCCCCGGGTCCACGTGCCGGTGCTTGGCGGTCGGAAGAATAATATTTTACAGGACATGACGGAGCTCAGGAGTCTGCACTTTGAAGCTCCTAGAGCGGACAAAGATATGTTTATTTGCCTGAATGATGGAAATAAATAAAAAATGCTATTTTACAGGACATGACGGATATAGGTGTATTTTCACAGCTTTTTGGAAATACACCAAATGTGATATTGCAGGGCAACACAGAGCTCATTTTACCCATGTGATGTTGTGCAGTACATTACTGAGCTCACTTAACGACATGGCGTACCAGGGGCACTCTAGGGCACTAAGGTCTTACCCAGATGTCCTTATGTGTTTAGTGAGAGTGCTTGAGTTTGGGTACACATCTTTGCCAGGCGCACCCACATGTGGAAAGACGAAATATGACGAATATGGATGCTGATGGGCGGAGGGTAGATCACCGCAAAGGGTTTCCAGGGGCATGATGTTCTGTAGGGTGTGAACATCTGGGTTTAGTCCATGGGGGAGTGCATAAGTCCGGGGGCCCGGGGTCTCACGGTGTGCGATGTTATGGAAGTGCGCATGTTAGGGAGACATTCTGGAGCTGCTTAGTCCGTCCTTTGGGGCTCTGTGAAGGGCCACAGAGAGGTGGTTTTCGCGGTCTGTCTCCTGGAAGTGTGACAAAAAACCTGTTTAGCCCACAATTCCTGGAGTTTCCAGGCCGAATTTGGGAGCTAATAGGCGGCCTGGCATGAGCCCCCACCAGTGGAAAGCAAAAATAAATAAAGAAAACAGTCAATTATATCTTAAAATAATCAAAAATGAAGTTTTAAAAATTCTCGAAAAAACGACTGAGTGCCAACGGAGGAGGGGCTCCAAAAAGCTCAAGTCTTCGGCGCTTCAGGCTGAAGCCCCGGACACTTTTGCACTCCCCCGTTGCATTTTACAACGGAATGGGAAATCGAGACCTCCCCTCCTCCATCAAAAAAATTCATTCATGTTTTTGAAGCTACCATCTGCACGAAATCGGAAACCCGGTTTTTGAGAGCACTCAGAAAAAAACCGGCTGTTTCACATCATGGAGGAATGTGTCCGCTCCATGATCACTTTGGCTCGGATACAATTGTTGCCTGGAGGATCATGGTTCTTACCAAACTTTAAGTTTTTGAACTGGCCTCTGGAGGAATGTAAGGGGAGTTTGAGGGGACTCTACCTGCATTATGATGCACTATTTTCGGATACATTTGGCCCAGTTTCATGGTTCTCCAAAAAAGTTAACATACTTTTTCTGCCTCTGGAGGAATGCAAGGAGAGTTTGAGCGGACTCTACCTTCATTATGATGTCAGGGGACTCTACCTGCATTATGATGCACCATTTTGGGATACAATTTCTCCATTTTCACCCCTTTTCTCTGGTTCTCCCAAAAGTTAACTTGTACTTTTCCTGACTCTGGAGGAATGTAAGGAGAGTTGTCAGGGGACTCTACCCACATTATGATGCACTATTTTCAGATACTATTTTTTACTTTCATGCATCTTTCCATGGATGAATTATTTTATTTATTTTAACATTTTGGTCAATTTCACCCAGTTTTGGCCCCCGCCTTGCCTGGAGGATAGGACCGAGAGATGACAGGGATCTCTGCCCGCCTAACGAGTGCCTAAATGGGACACCTGTAAACTGGAGAGATTTGACATGGGGTCTCTCCAGTTAGCTGAGTGCCATTTTCTTGAGTCTTTTCAGGTTTCCTTCTCTGTCACTGGTTCTATTAATTCCTTTTACCTGGTACACTTCCCTGTACCGAGTGTCCACAGATGGCCCGTTTATCCACACACACATTGGCACAATGCTCCGGAGGAAACGGCCGAGAAATGACAGTGTTCTCTGCCCGATTAACGAGTGCCTAAATGGGACACCTTTCGCACGATGATTGCTGTAAACTGGAGAGATTTGACATGGGGTCTCTCCAGTTCGCTGAGTGCTATTTTCTTGAGTCTTTTCACGTTTCCTTCTTTGTCCCCCCCGGTTCTATGCATTCTACTGGGGACACTTCCCGGTACCGAAATGCTATGCCTCGTGCACGTGGTGTGACTCTGATCACCAGGTACTATGAATTGAGACCAGTGGTCCTTTGTTGGAATGAAGGTGGAGCCCCCCACCTCCACGCTATATATTAAACCGTGGTTGACTCTGATCACTGGGTACTATGAATTGAGACCAGTGGTCCTTTGTTGGAATGAAGGTGGAGCCCCCCACCAACGCGATATACATCAACTATATCTATTCAATGGATTAAACAAACAATATGTTTCATCCATACAGATAGAATGGCGAGCGAATGTCCGATCTGTAAGAGTTCCTACCGCGCCCTGAGCAAGCACCTGCAGAGGAATCATAATGTGCGTAATGCAGATGAAAGAAGAATTATTCTGTTGATGGCCAAAGGACGAACAAACATTAGGCTCCATCGCTGCATTATTGCAGGATGTGAGTACATCGGGACAAGGCTGGACCGCCACTTGGACAGAGACCACTTTGAGCTGTCCCGGGAGGAAATATATGTGGTTGTTAATAAAGTAAAAATAAAAGTGGCAAAACAGGAGCTTCGTGAACTCCGATTGACAAACCCCACAGTAGGAATTATTTCCTCTTGGGATGTGGACACTGTGGATGATGAGGTCCTGTCACAACCTCCACCCTTGTCCCCAGTGATTGAATGTGACAACCCAGACTGTAAGGAATGGAGGATGGAGGCAAACACAATGAGGGCTCAGAGGGACACAGCTGCTGAGGTGAAATCCCTGCGCTGCAAGCTGCAGCAGAGGATAAAACATAAGCGACATAGGAGGGAACAGAGGGCCAAGGACATGCATGGGTCCGATGAAGAGGATGGGGAGGAACAAGAGCGGGTGTATCTAAAGAAACGACCCCGGACAGAGTCAACGAAAAAGAGGCAGTCCAAGTCCAAAGGTCCCTCCTGCAGCAAGTCCCCCATTCCCTCCTGCAGCAAGTCCCCCATTGCCTCCTGCAGAAATACCTCTCAGGCACAGACATCCAGCTCCTCAGAACCTGCATCCTGAGATACCGAGGCCTCGTCAACCTCCCCTCCCATAAATTCCCCCTGGTTCAGCAGCAGGGGGAATATAATGCGGGACATAACATTCCCACGCATCATGGGTAAGTGTGTTGAATATGTCACAAATGCAGTTTCTGTAACACACAATGTGTTGTCATTAAAGTACTGTGTTATGTTTCACAGAGGAGTATCTGCAAGGCTACCGGGAGCATTATGAGTGCATCGACCCTACAGTCAGGCTCCAAGAAAACGCAGTCTCCAAGATAAGCCGAGTGAAATCGTTCCTAACCTTCATGGCACACGGTTTCAAGCGCCTGTCTGACTGGCTCTTTATGAGAGATTTGAAGAGGATACGTGGGTGAGTAACATCAATTACTGTCCATGATGTCAGCATCATTGTGTGTGTTCTCCACATTGACGCAATGTACTGATGCGTTTCCCTTTGCCAACAGCTGGTCCCGGAGCCTGATAAAGTCGAGCCTACAGGTCACGACCTCTGACTTCTATATACAAAATATAGCACACTTTGTCAAATACATGTCAGCCACACCATGCAAGGGGAGCAGGCTCAACCAAAATGACATGACCTTAATAACACGGGAACTTGGTGCCATCCTGAAGTCCCTGAGGAAGAAGGTGGTTATCCACCAGATGCAGGTGAAGCGGGACAAGATGGAAGGTCTGCCGAGCCATAAAGACATCATCGCATGTTTGACTGCGGCCAATACTCTCATCCCTCAGCTCCTGGACGTGATGGCCAGCAATCCGACTACCGCAACCCGGCTGTTGCTCTATGGGTACCTGACCCTCCATTGGAGCTGCATCTATGGCCACCGTCCGGGGGTCTACTCGAACATGACCAACGCCCAGGTCCGAAAGGCGGAGACAACTGGCACTGCCTTTGGCTACCTCATCCAAGTGAGTGCTATTTAAAAAATAAATAAAATAAATGTGTTTATTCTGGCAGTGATAAACATGTTGTGCATGATTGATACTTGTATTGACGCTCTCTACCTCTGTCATAACAGGTAAGCAACCACAAGACGGCCAGCGCGTTCGGGGAAGCGCAGCTGTACCTCACCATAGAAGAGTTTGGATGGATGAAGAGGTGGCTGGATATAAAGGAGACGCTGACCGGCACCCAGAACCGCTACTTCCTATACACAGCGGGGAATAACCCGTTGAGGAACCTTGCCACCTTCCTGAGGTTGGCATGGGCTGATGTGGGACTAAAAGGTCCCATTAACTTCACCGACTTCCACGCAGATAATGCGAAGAGGTTTCAGGATCCAGGCAACCGCCAAAGAGTGAGTGATTTTATGTGTCACATTCACTGCAACTGCGGACACATTTTATGCCAAGAATCCTTCTTTGAAGGAGGCTGCGGACATACGGCTGCTCTTCAAAGTCACTGCAAGCAGCGGCAGCAGCATTAGAAGAACCATCAGACAATGAAGAAGGGGGGAGTGAAGACAATTTGGGAGAGGAGCATATCCCCATTCCCTACCAAGACTCCCCCAATGCTTCGTCAGAGATGTCAGACGAACACTTCTACTTAAAGTTCAACGCTTGGAGAGCGGCGAAGAGGGAACAGTCAATGGCCGAACACAGTCCCTCAGACATGGGTGAAGAGAGGGTGCCAGACACTGCACCAACTTCACCCGATACAGACATTGTTACCAATGCACAAGCCAGTGACCAACTTGCAAATATGCAATGCGTTGTTCAAATCAGTCCCCTCGTGCTGGATGAGTGAACAATGCTATACTGTTATAAAGTGACAATGTCAATGTATATATATATATTTCTGTGAATAAAGTTTGTTAAAATTAGTTACTTTGTCCTCTTTTTTAAAAACCCACCAACAACTGAACACACATTTTAGTATATATTGCTGAATGTTATTCTAATATTACACCACAGTTGAGTTGGTACCGGATGATGGGAGTGGATAATGATGAGTTGGTACCGGATGATGGGAGTGGATAATGATGAGTTGGTACCGGATGATGGGAGTGGATAATGATGAGTTGGTACCGGATGATGGGAGTGGAACAAGTGGCAATAGTGAGCAGCATGAGAGGGGAGAGAAATGGGTGCGGACATCTCTATGCTGAAAATCTGGGTGTTCCCCCCCCTTTAATATCCCCAGGGGCATGAGGTTCTGGTGGTGTGCATGGAGGGGTTTAGTCCGAGTGAGGAGTGCTCAAGTGTTGGAAGATGTGTAAGGCAGAGGAGGGTAAAAAAAAGTTAAAGTGTGACCCTCCAGCAGGGCAGGTGGTGCTGTGAAGAAGGCCGAATATTGATGCTAGCGGGCGGGCGGTTGAGCACCGCACAATCCACACCCTTTGTGTTACCAGGGCCATGAGAACAACCTCCACAGTGCACAAAGTGCTCGCACCTCCATGCGCACCGGGACATGGACATGGACAGGGACCCAAACTTAAGCACACATCCTCTGACAAAAACCCAAAATGAATGACTTCCATACAAGCATGCCCCTGGTCACCTAGAAGTGTCTGAATGTCTGGTAGTCACGTGTCCTCTGTAGGAAGCTTAAAGAGCCTGTGACAGCATCCCAACAACTGTTGTGCAATGAAATATTGGGCTACTAGTAATCTCGAACCGTCAGTTTAAAAAAGAAAAAGCGATACCGTTCCGTTAAATATCAATAATTTCGAACTTCGCGGGGAAATTCCTTCGACTCATTTTGAAGTTTTGGGGGAAGCCGGAAGTGACGTCAATGCGGGAACGCTTCACTGTGCGGCGAGAGAGCCAAACACGGACAAAGTGTGTTGTCATGAATTACTGAGTTTAGGCACGTTAATAACGTTTTAATGAAGTTGACTACAGTATATTCATCTTTGTCAGTGCTTTCATGTCAATTCGGCGAACATAAACATAAATGATCGTGGTGAAGATGATGATTACATTAGGATTACAAATCGGTAGTGAGAGCTACTGAATTGCCTCCCGTAGGATGTGATATAAAAACAAATCGATTATTTTTGTAGTTGTAAACTCAAGTGGATGAAACTACATTTATTAGTGCTTTCATGTCAATTCGGCGAACATATGATGGATTAAATGATCGTGAGAATGATGATTACAAATCGTTTGTTTGAGCCGGTCTGCATTTCCTGATGAGAAAACAAACCGATGCTTTTTGTAGTTGTCGTACACCAACATGGATTAAACGTGTGTTTTTTCACCACAATGTTGGGGAAATTAATGGATAAAATGCACAGATTGTTATTATTATTATTCCCACTCCGATCGGGACACTAGGTCCACCGTTTCCCCGCAGCGAGGCTCCCCCCGTTGACAGTTTACGTGGGCTGGGTGCAGTGGCGGACTGGCCATCGGGACGAATCCCGATGGGCCGGTACCGAAGTGGGCCGGTCGGATAAGTCACTATTATTAGATCTCAGTGCTGCGTTTGACACTGTTGACCACAGCATATTACTAGACCGACTGGAGAACTGGGTGGGACTTTCGGAAACAGTTCTGAATTGGTTTGAATCCTACTTAAAGGACAGAAACAACTTTGTTTCTATAGGTAAATACACATCTGAGTTGACAAATATGACATGTGGGGTTCCTCAAGGCTCCATCTTGGGGCCTCTTCTCTTTAACATCTACATGCTACCACTGGCTCAGATAATGAAGAACAACAAAATAAGTTACCATAGCTATGCAGATGACACACAAATTTACGTAACAATTTCACCAGGAGACTATGCTCCAATTCAAACACTGAGTAAGTGCATTGAACAAATCAATGACTGGATGTGTCAGAACTTTCTCCAATTAAACAAAGATAAAACTGAGGTAATGGTTTTTGGAGCCAAGGCAGAACGTATAAAAGTTAGCGCTGAGCTTCAGTGTGCAATGTTCAAAACAACAGATAAAGCCAGAAATCTAGGTGTAGTCATGGACTCTGACCTGAGTTTCAACAGTCACATTAAAACTGTTACTAAATCAGCCTACTATCACCTAAAGAATATATCTAGGATTAAAAGACTAATGTCACAGCAGGATTTGGAAAAACTTGTCCATGCTTTTATCTTCAGTAGACTCGACTACTGCAATGGTGTCTTCACAGGTCTCACTAAAAAATCTATTAGGAAGCTGCAGCTAATTCAGAACGCTGCTGCTCGAGTCCTCACTAACACTAAGAAAGTGGATCACATCACTCCAGTTCTGAAGTCTTTACACTGGCTTCCTGTGTGTCAAAGAATAGATTTCAAAATACTGCTGCTGGTTTATAAAGCACTGAATGGTTTAGGCCCAAAATACATTTCTGACCTCCTGCTAAATTATGAACCATCCAGATCTCTCAGGTCTTCAGGGACTGGTCAGCTTTCTGTCCCCAGAGTCAGAACTAAACATGGAGAAGCAGCGTTCAGTTATTATGCTCCAAATATCTGGAACAAACTCCCAGAAACCTGCAGGTCCGCTACAACTCTGACTACTTTTAAATCCAGGCTGAAGACTTTTCTTTTTGTCGCTGCTTTTAATTGAACTATTCATATCTTAGACTGCACTGTAACTTTTATCCATTTACTTTTTTCTTTTAATGTTTAATTGACAGCACTGTAACTTTTATCCATGTATTTTTTCTTTTAATGTTTATTTTATTAGCTTTTCTTTTTAATGACTGATTTTAAATGCCATTTTCTTAATCTCTTTCATTTTTTGTAAAGCACTTTGAATTGCCTTGTGTTGAAAAGTGCTATATAAATAAACTTGCCTTGCCTTGCCTTGCCTATAGCACATCCCCCATAGGCGGCGCGTGAGGCTCAGGTTTGGGAAGGCTAAATAACTTTTTTTACGCCTCCGGCATCTATAGAAAAGAGATCAACTCAGTGTGCGGAGTTTAAATCTCTCAAGTCATATTACAGGATAAAGGAAATACAGTTTAAACTGCCGTATGCAGAGAAGACGCCGACGTGTCGCACTTATCATTCATATTACATCATCAATCAGATCATCGATCATATAATATTATAATATATCATATATTTCCTTATCTGAGTCAGCTTCTCCAGCCGTATCTGGCCATGCAACACTTACAGTGTCACATACTGTATGCAGAAGTATTATTTTAAGCAACACATTATGTTGACGAAACACTCGAGTCAAATGTAATTAAAGTCAGATCCACTCATGTCTTAGACGTGAACGCGCTCTCAGCTGGTGAGAGAAACCCTGGCTTGATTTACCGAGTTGATAACCAGCGTCGTAGGACCGCTTAGCGAGATCTCGTTTGTTAGTTTGTTGTTGTTAGTTTGTTTGTTACTCAAACATATCCAGGGTCTGTTGAACTGGCTTCGTAGTACAGGGCACAGGTGGCTAGCAGCGCTAATGTCAAAGACACAGACATTGCATTATATTTGTATTTTACCAGGATGCAGTGACACAAATATTTACATATTTACATTTACTATCTACAGCACCCGCTGCCCCTGACATCCCCCACTCCCCCCGTTGACAATTTACTAGCGGTACCGAAGTGGGCCGGTCGAGAGTCCCGGGATGATTTTTAGTCCCAGTCCACCACTGGCTACATGACCGTATGATCGCCCATATTGACGCACCTAATTCCTAAACTTCTAACAGATACAACATAAAGCGATCCTTCAGCCTCATATGAGCTCTCAGACACGTTCAAAATTAAACTGTCATCGCTGTCTGAGCTTGCTGCTGTGTGCGCCATCGTGCGTTTACATGCAGATGCTGGGATCCTGAACGGTGAAGCTGGAGCGCTGCGCCCGCAATGACGTCACACATAATTTTGCGGGACTTGAAGAATCCCCGAGAAGATCCAGAAAATGGTCAACATTGAAGGGCAGATTAATGGTTATCAAAGTACAAATATCCAAAATCAGTTCAGTAACGGTTTTCAAGGGGACAATATTTACTCAAATTGATGGGTTTGGATGATGGGAGAAACTCGTGTCACAGGCTCTTTAAGGGCGGACAATAAAGCACCGCAAACTCCACCCCCCCTTTAAAGTTCCCAGGGGCACGAGGTTACGGAAGTACGCATGTCAGGGAGAGATGCTGGAGCTGCTTAGTCCGTCCTTTGGGGCTCTGTGAGCCCCCACAGAGAGGTGCTTTTACCGGTGTATTTCATGGAAGTCTGACATAGCCTGTTTGCAGGGTTGGAAGGGTTACTTTGTAAATGTAATCAGTTACTGATTACTGAATACATGGCTCTGAAAGTAATCCGAATACAGTTACAGTTACGTGTCTTAAAAAAGTAACGTAATCAGATTACTTTTAGATTACTTTATTTTTCCATAACAGATGGGTATGTTTTGGTCAGTGGCGAGCCATGACTTTTATACCTAGGCCCTCTGACCCCCCCTTCCCTCGAAAAAAAAGAAGAGATATTACGTCTCAACCATAGACTGTATATATAAATGGACGTAGTGTCCGTGACGTCACCCATAGGATTCTGCAGAGTTGCCGTGAAGCCCTTAGTAGGCGGAGTCGGCCACTAATTGCCCGTCCACACAGTGGCGTGCGTTGACGCTTGCCGGCGGGCGTGTCTGACACTCGACCAACAACCAATCACATGAATCTCCCGCCCCTGACACACAAGCAGCGGTTTGATTGGCTAGAGCTTGTACTGGCATATGATTCGATTGGCTGACGCTTCTGCCGAGGCGTCAAAAGTTGAACATTGCTCAACTTTTGCAGCGAGCCACGCCAGCAACGCTCCGCGTCGCTTCCCACGATGCAGTTCGGCTAAAAGTGACGTCACCCCATTCAAAGTGAATGGGCAGAAGCGTTGGAAGCTTCAATGCACGCCGCTGTGTGGACGGG